CTCCAGAGACTACTACGAAGGAAGTTAGCGGCCCTTTTAGCCGGGCTTTTCAAGCTACAACCGATGGACACTGCGATGCCGACAGCAAGCTTCTCTCTCCCTCTCTGCCTCCCTCTCTTTCTCTTTCTCTCTCTCTCTCTCTCCCTCTCTCCCTCCCTCCCTCCCTCCCTCCCTCGCTCTCTCTCTCTCTCTCTCTCTCTCTCTCCCTCTCCTCTCTCTCTCTCTCTGTCTGTCTGTCTCTGTCTCTGTGTGTCTGTGTGCAGGGCGACCGCCAGTGCATGCGTTTGCCACCGTTTCGGAGCGGGTGAAAGTAGGCAACAAACATGAAAAGCACCGCAAACATGGACAGGGGCTTAGGAGAAGGGCCTGGGGCCAGAGAGGGGTGCAGCCCTGCTGTACCATCTACACTTTTGAGCCTGAGGGCTGTCTCTCCTATGCTACTATACGCGCCACGCACCTATCTAAGATCCCAACTCGGAAAGTGCAAACATGCTTTAGTAGACACTTGTGGGGCACTCTCTTTTTGGGTCTTTTGCAGAAAGTCATGACAACGGTCACAAGCATTAACCGCTATCTGAATTGTCGATACGTGCCCTGAACTTCAGAGGTGCACAGCTGTCCCGAGGCTGACTCAGGCGGCTTGTATCTCTTCTGGCACAGTTCGCGAGAGTATCAGGTTAGCTTTGTTCTTTAGGCTTCGTCGATGAGATGCACCTTCGCGGCTTTGTGAAGGAGGCCAAGCATGCTCTCGTTCCTAGGGCAGAAAAGCTGCTAGCCAAAAAGAGCTGCAAGCAAGGAAAAGGAGCTGGGGAGTAGTGGAAATTCTACTGACAGGGAGTATAGGCGATAGCATCGATCATGCGCGCTTGCCCGGTGTGCCCTGCGAGATTCTGGCAAACCCTGTCGTCAAGTTGTCCTCAATGTTTTGGAATGGTGGACAATCGAGCTCACGGCCTACTGACTTTGGCTAACAGCCGATGTTGAAAGTATATCCATGCAGAAGTTCACATACACAGCCATGCACATGCACATGTGTCACTTAACTGCTGACCCACATCTATACAAAACGCTTAAACGTCAGTGATCAGGTCGCACTGGGGCCAAGTGTGCAGAGATCAGGTCTAATGTGACCTGTGGTCCTCCCGCAGAAGAGTCTCTCGCATATGTAAGATGGCCTGAAAATCAGATGCCGCCTCTTGACCAATGTCACATGACGACAACCGAAAAGTCGGGACCTAAGGACAATGTTCAGTTAGTTGTCTTTTCTTGGTTGCTACCTGCTCTTCTGTCTAGCTGAACACACATCTCCGGCTTTTGGAGGGAGCCGCGAGAGACCTGGGATATTTTCTGCTGAAGCGCCCTGTTGATATTTCAGCTCACATCCATTGCTCAGGCCCTAGGTGGCTGTCCTCGGGCTTCTGTACCGTCTCCCGTAAATCTGAGGGACAACGGCCCTTCACATGGCATGATGCTGAACAGTATATATGGACACGGCCAGCTTGCCCAAAAATCACTTCTGAACATCAAAAGCATTCTCCGTCTTCTAATTCACTCCCTCCGGACACCATGAAGAATAAGGATGAGGAGGCGAAAATGCAGGTAAGTCGCAGGAACACGGAGGGTCTCTCCTCGTCCCGGCCCTTATGCTCTGTGTGCCGTTGAAAGTGCGAGACCTGGCAAAGGTGTTTACTACCCTTTGTTGAAGCATGTCTCTCAAAGAGCCGTTGGCAACTGCCGGTAGTATAAGGACTTCGGGCTCCCGATGTACCTGGGAGTCAACCTCAACTTGGAAGGTTTCTGGGCACTGGTGACCTTGTCCTTGACCATTCCTTCTTCAGCACGGGTAGAAGTAGAAACCCTCAGGTAAGTCAAAAGCCCCCCATGCCGGAGCTGAGTACAACTTCCCAATATGGTCCTCAGATGCACAAACGTAGCTAGTTACATTGACTTGAGGCACCTTCGAGGTACATGACACTAAGGATGATGGCATCGGCAACTCATGGTGCACAGATCCCTTTGTGGCACAGGTGTCCCTCTCCTGCACATATGGGGAGCTTTACAGCTCCTCTTAGTAGCTCTCTTTGGTAGCTCCTCTAAAGCGCGCATGGTGGCGCCAGGTGGTGCCCCAGTCGGTTGTCGTCGTCGTGCAGAGCCATGGCCGCCTTTGCTCGATAGTTCCTGGCGGGGAGTTCCAGTTGGGGGACAGAGGCATGCGTTTTTTGTTCTCTCTGCCCCTTGTAAAACCAGAAAGTCGTATCTGTGCACATGTGCAATCATGTGCTGCGCTGTGGGCAAAACTTCCCTTTTCAGGAGCCCAAGCGACAGCTCTTTGATGGAATCGGCAGCCAGGCGCATGTGATGCTCCTGCTAGCAGGGACGGTAGGGGCGGGCACAGCCCCCCGAAACCCCTACAGGCCCTACACCTCATGAGGCGCTTAGGCGCTGTGAACCCTTCTGAACCCTCCTCACCTTTGCCCCTCCAAGTTTTGGAAACTTCTTTCACAGGAGTTTAAGTCGAAGCTGTTGGGCTCCCTGGTTGGGTCCCCTTGGCAGTGGCTCCTGTCTACGCGGAGGTGGGCTAGATTCCGGATGCGAAGGCCATGAGGGGGAGAGCTCTCTACGTGGGTTGAGCACCGTCCATCGTCTTAGATCTGGGGGCGAGAAGTGACAGTTTGACAGCGCCAGAAATCTCCAATCCTGATGGATGTGCAGCCTCCTGGCATCCGTTTGAGTGCTGCCCTGGGCAAATGATTGGGAGGTTTTACTTTGATGCCGGAATCATTGAATGCCTGCACCACAGTAGGTTTGGTTTGGGAGTTTTTGCGAGGTCTGCGTTTGATCTTTGAAGCTTTGAGGATTCATGCAACTTTGGCATCAAAGTGACGGGTCGGATAGTAGGGTAGGCAGCCACAAGGCCCATCCGAGCCAAGCAAAGGGCAAGTGGAATGTTGCATGATTCCCGGACAACAGTAAAGCTTCTCAACAAGTCTTCCCAAAGCTGGCGAATCCTGCATGAAGGAGTTGCCGCAGTGGGCACCAGCCGTCATCGAGGCGTGCTCCACGAAGTAGTCCAGGTTCAACGTCCTCTGCGGCTTGGTTCGAGAGCAGAAGGGGGTCTGTACTAGTTGGCGGTGCAGAAGTCGCCCCCTCACTTTCAAGCAGTGCTCGAGCGGCAGAAGACCTTGATGTTGAGGTTGCGAGTTGTCGGGCTACCATGGACACAGGCGGCGCAATGAGGAACAGAAAAAGCAAGAAGTCACAAAACCTGGCTGTCTGGATGATCATGGCAATAAAACAACATCGGAGGATGATGGTCAACGAATAGCATTGCTGCGGCACCTTGCTGGTAGCAACCCCCGGCAGAACAATCCTCTCTCAACAATCACGTGATGTGGAGACAACGGGCCGGGCAATGTTTGTACTCATCAAGATGGCGGGGGGGTTCAGAGGCTGCACCAGCTCTGGCTTCTACTCCGAGAGGTGGCCAAGGCTTCAACAAACCCCCAAATCCCCCAAATTCCAAAACCCAAAAACTCCCCCAATCTCCCAAAAGCCTCAAAAGGGTCTCCTGGCGTGGCATTTCTCTTTCACCTCTTCTTTGATGGTCTCCGCTAGGGCAGCGGCTCGGCTGCTCCTTGGCATCTGAACATCCAGAAGCACTGACACACTCTCTCTCGGACTCTTTTTGGCAAGTGATTCGGAAGTTCAGAACGGAAGTCGTTGGATTTTGAAGTACTCGCAAGACAAACTAAGTGGATGTACTAAGTTACTACGTCAATTGAGCATTTAAGTATGCATCTGCATGAATGGGACTACGGCCTTCTTGCAATTGCAGCTGTATGGGGTTAATGTGATCTCCAAGGTTAAGCCACTCCCTCCTGCACAGGAGGAGGGCATGGTATGTCATGAAAAAAGGTTCGGTTAGGGTTCAGCAAGGCCCAAACGCTCCAGCCGCAAAGTGTGCTGCACATGAAGCCTTGATTGGTTCTTGAATGAGGGTTGCGAACTTGTTTGTCTAAGAAACCACTTGCTTGGGGTCTAGCTAGATTATGGCCGTAAGTAGGAGCTAAAAACAGCTGCACGCATTAAGAAGATACTTTATGACCAAGTTGTAGCCCAAATGGATTCTTGGGAGCGTTGCAGCCCAGCAAGGCCGAAAGGACAGCTTCTGGATCAGAGCATGCTAAAGCCTGAAAGCCGGTTTCTAAGATTTAGGGCTAAGGCGGCTAAGGGTCTCACGTCTGGGGCTCATGCTTCTTGGTTTTAGAGCATGCACCGGTGTCATGTTGCTCATAGGTGAATTCGTAAAATCGAAGTTGCCCGTTCTTCTCCAAGATGTCGTGGAGGCCAACTAAACTGCTGAATTGCAACCCCTTGCACGCTGTTGGGGGCACGCTCTGTTTCTCAAGAGCCTGCATGACGACGAGGGCCGTGTTCAACATATCAGCGGAAGCTGTGAGGGAAGCTCTCGAGATGAGTTCCGTGTAATGTCGCGGCCGAAATAGTAGCCGACCAAACATTTTGGCTTGAATAGTCTGCTGTCAGTGACCCGTCGGACCGGGGTCAGGGTCTGGGTGGCTTTGATGAAGTTCACAAGAAGGGAAATGGGAGGTCCTGGGGTTTGGGGGCTGGCTTGGGTGCAGGGTCTGCGGTGCTGCGCGAATGCGCGGTCGGGGTCTGGGGATCACCAAAAGCTGGAAACCGAAATCCCGATGCCTACAAGATAACTACCAAGACTAAAAATTCTGTATTTTGAACACTTTTGCCTCCAACCTACACTCCCCTCCACAATCGACCACGTCTGAGGCTGCGGTACAGTAGTAGTACAGCAGTCGTATAGCAATAGTACACTAATAGTACAGTAGTCGTGCAGTAGTACAGTAGTAGTACGGTAGTAGTACCGTAGTAGTACACACGTAGTACAGTAGTAGTACAGTAACAGTACAATAGTAGTACATCAGTGGTATAGTACATCAGTAGTACAGTACGAGGGTTTAGGAGTACCTGGAGCTGTTTAGCAGGGTTTGGGGATCACCAAGAGGTGGAAACCAAAGCCCCGATCACTCCAAGATAATTACCAAGACTGAAAATCATTGATTTTGAAGACTTTTTCCTCCAACCTACACTCCCCTCCACAAGCGACCACGTCTGAGGCTTGGTACTGTGCAGTAGTAATACGGTAGTAGTACAGTAATAGTACTGTAACAGTACAGAAATAATACAGTAATCGTACAGTAATAGTACGGTAGTAGTGCAGTAGTGCAGTAGTACGGTAGTAGTGCAGTAGTACGGGGTTAGGTCGTGGGTGCCTTAAGATTGACCACCAGCAGACAGGACAGTCACCCCCCAAAAAAAATCCCACCAGAAAAAAAAAGCATTCATCAGGGCGCCTTTATTTTTGGTACCTGCTTGAAGAAGGAAAAACAACACATTCAAGAGGCCCATGTTCCAATTTAGGCCGCCACATTACCGCCCAAGCAAATGAGCCATTGCCAACAACTTCCTGCCTTGGAGCAGATGGTTGTGCTTCTGGTGTCTGAAAATGAGCTCACGGCCTAATCTGTGACACAAGTCTCCTCCGCCCGGGCCGGGGCTTCGGATGCCGAGCGTCTTGTTCATCATTGTGAGTGCATCTTCCTCAATCTTGCCTTGGCGGGTGGTTGGCTCACTATCCTTTAGGGTCCTCTATGCCAACCAAGAAGAGTTTGAAGTAGACATGCTGTGGTTTCAGCAGCCAGTTAAAGGCTGGCCCTTCAGTCAATATGGATGCTCATGCAGGGCCCTTCTCTGGAGGACATCCATCTTGAAGGAAACGCTTTCCCAGCTTTATGGGCCATTTTTGGGGGAGTGGATCATGTCGTCTCCACTGAAGGGTGCACAACATCCTGGCAGGCAAACGTTAAGATTATCCATGAGTCCTAAACTCTAAACAGGCTTTAGACCTCATGGCCCTAACGACCATAACCCCCAAAACACGGCCCCAAACAACAGATTTTTCGCATCAAGCCATAGACCCTCTGTTGTCAGCCTGGTTGCGGACGGCGGCAGCCTCAACTTTATCCTGCCGGCTACACAAAAAACGCTCTCTGCGCTTGGTGGTGGGTGTCTATTACTATTGCTACTACTATTACCATTACTATTACTGTATTATCGTACAGAACGAACTGTAGCATGCCTTCTGGGCGACTCACCTGATAGTCGAATCGCGGAATGGGTAAGATTCGGATTCGTTCTTTTGTCGCCATGTGCTGCCAGATCTGAATACCGACGACGTCGCAACAGCGTGGCCAAGATAAACAAGGCTTCCTGCTCAAAGGTTCCAAGGTCCACTGCTAGGCCACCCTTACCAGGACAAGAGCCAAACTTGGAGGCCGGAAAGCCTTGCTTCGTTCTAAAGTGCAAGGGAGGATGTGATCCTGGGCCGAAGAACCCAAAAGGCGGCATCACTGCCCATCCACGTTGATGCCAGCGCCGGGGTGAAGGAATTAATCGGCCAGCCATGCAGCATGAACACACTTCGCAGGTTCAAAACAGTGATCATTTACCTGCAGCATCTGGAAGGATTTCCAAAAATCCTTCAGCCCCACCTGTCTGTGGGCTCAAGGCGGCGGCACTGGCGGCAGCTGTACAAAGGCAAGCCTTCAGGCTAGCCGTGCTCCGCACTGGACCACGACGGCCAGGCCGGATACGGCTGCCGCCGATGCCGCCGATCCGCTCCCTGTCTCCCAGAACACCAACGTGCCCAAAGCACAAAACTCCGTAAATACCACAGTGTTTTGCTCCTTCTGGACCCTCGCACCTGCAACTTCGAACACTTTGGGCATCAAGCAGCCCCTAGTGGCAGCTTCCGTCTACTGCTCCGACCCTGGCCTGGCCTCACACATCGCTGCCAGCGATTCGACCTGAAACGGAAGAGTCGTGAAGTCACACAAAATTCAAGAAGTTCAGGGTCTAAAGACGGGACGGTGAACACTTCCTACCTGAAGCGGGGTACGAGAAGGATCCGCAGGATCCCAATGCACCCACACAAACTTTTTGAAGCCCCTGCAGTCTCTGCGGTCTCTTCTAACTTCTGAGCATGGGGCTAAGGCTTGATGCTGTTTCGGGTTTAGGGCTCCTCGCTTGGATGACGCATTGCTGGCCCTAGGTCCAAAGGGTAGGTTCTCGAGGGGTCCTCAGAATTATCCCAGCCCCGACTTCCCGACTTCATTCTCTCATGGAAAGAGGCGCCTCCCTTGCGAAGTTCTCGACGGCTTGCGGGGTCAGCTTTATCTTCTGCAGTGCCTTCATGTGGGTGGCAGTTCCTCTGACCACACCTACAGCCTGACTACAGCCACTACAGCAATCTCTTGGCCTTCTGACAACGAAAATATCAGGTCTTACCAAGTATCTCGTCCTTAAGCGCAAGTCTAGGCTAACTCTAACGTGAGGCTCGTCGGGTGCCTCAGGCACAGGTGCATGCCATCGTTCGACCGCCTTGGAAGGCCCTGCGAGTACTAGAACGCCAAATGCTCAGCCTTGTTTGCGTTCTCCTTGCTCGCTCAACTGGTCCCTTCCCGCCATGCTGATGAGACGGTAATCTGCTGTCCCTGCTTCAAGGCGCCACTCCGCAGAAGTATAAATGCAAGTCAAGCTGCTTTTTCGTCGTTTGCGAACTCCTAGTCGCACGTGCAAGATTATCACTGATGGCTGGGGCTGGGGTTGAAAAGCAGGAGGCTCAACTCTGTGCCTGGTGTGGAAGCTTAGGGCGCCCATGCCAGTTTCGTTTTCTACATTCGCCTGATGTGGTAAGTAAGACACCACTGATTCACAGGCTCTCAACAGTGCCGAAGATCTCTCCGCAGTCTTGCGGATGCAATCTGAAGCACTTCCGTTACTTCCGTACGACGGAAAACTTCTGCAGCATGAATCTTGTCGTTGCCATTTTCTCCCAACGCTTATCGCGATGCCACAGTCTTATCCTATGAGTCCCTGTGTCGACGTTGCGTCACGGACACCTATACCACCTATACATTCTCCCCGTAACGCATACCTTCAACAAGGCACCTTCTCCACCAGGTGAAGTGCAGCCTCACGCGCGTGCATGTCAACGGCCGCCGCCGTTTGATTGTCCTTGATGGGCTTGATCTTCTCAGCAGTCTCGCCTTCACAAGCATCTTTGACCAACAAAATTGAGCTTTCTTAAACGGCCGTTACACTACACAATTCCCGCATTGTTGGAGCAATGGGCAGTAGGCTAAGATGCCACCACGACTGCCGGAAAAGCAGGTGCTGCGAACAAAAAACTACAGAGGCCGCTCCAATGGCTCATTTACGAAAAGACTTCAAAGCTTTCTTGAGGGATTTAAAGGGCCTCCCATGGCAGATGCCTCGGATCACGGCCAGGAGCTCCCTCACCTCCTCCAGGGAGCCCATGTCCATGGCCGCTTTCATCCGCTTCCTGCTCATGGCTGGGCTTCGTAGAGTGAAGAGCTCTGCCGTGGGGGGGTTCCATCCGCTTTCGCGTAGGTAGCTGCTGGATCGTGCTACCATGGAGGCAGAGCAGCTGCAGTTGCAGCTGCATGCTTGGTTCAATTGAAGCTTATAGTGAAGCGTCTCCCCACAGCTGTTCTGGCATGAAGAAGCTGAGCCTCAGCGATTTTATGACGTTGGACCGCCATGCTGAGACATTGGCATCTCTCCATTTCTACGAAACGTTACTGACCCATGGCATAACAAGGAGACTGCAACGTCGAGCTCCGGCTAAAGCTTCCACACCTTGGATATTCCCCCTGCCGCTTAAGCTGCGCCCTGCTGGGGCCTGTGAGAGACTCTGCGCCACTCGCAAGGAGTGAGCGCAAACAAAACTGTGAAAATCAAAACTGCGAACTGGCTCATGCCTGCAAATATGCCCAACAAGGACTGTAATATTTCGGAAGCATGTCTATAGGCTTACATAGCAAGCCAGGCCCTACAGTGATTTGCATGCAGAGGCACTGCAATGTGTCTGGGTTTAGAGCCTCAGGGTCTTTAGGATGCTTCCGTTTTTTTTGTTTTTTCGTTTCAAACCTTTATATACGGCTTCAAACTTTAAAGGGCTTGGATGCTTGCCTCAAGCAGGAAAGCGAGCTGTCGAGCTTCTTGATTTCCTCCTGTTTGATGGGCTTGGAGCCGTTTGCCTTCGCCATCTCCTCCTGGCTCTGTTTGTTGTGCTTAAAATGTCAGGCTTTGCGGGGTTTAAATGGTTCTGGCTTTGAGGAGTTTAGGGGGGGTGTCTGGTTTCAGTAGGGGTCCAGGCTTTCATTGAAAAGGCCATGGCTCATGCCATGGCTTCACGCAAGGCCAGGGCCAGGGCGTCAGAGACGGGTTGACAGAAGTTGACGCTAGCTTAAAAAAGTGCACAGCGTGCATTTCAGCATCTCTCTGCCTTAAGGTGCATGTGTCTTCTAGGGCCTGATGCGCACTGAAAAGTGGACTACAATGACTAATTACAAAGACACAGACCCTCCCCTCCCCGTTCCGAGCTCTAGGGGCCCTAAAAGAGCTCCCGAGCCTCCACGACCACATCCACGGTGGCCTCCAGACCAGGGATGCATGGCATGGGGTCTTAAGGCGGGGGGCTGTGCTGGGATAGAACTGAACAAACAACTCATCGAGAGGGGAACTCGTAAGGCTCCGGCTAGAGGGGGATGACGGGATGCTATGCTATGCACTCTTTTACCATCTCAGTGCATGCCACGAACCTTGGGTGTATAGCCTTCATTGAATCTGCTCCCGGATGCGCAGCTATGGATTTGAACTGCCCCCAGCGCAACGCGGATTGAGGAGTATTTTGCAGCCCCAGACAGTGACACCGATCACGAACGCTTCGTGTGAAAGGATCTGCAAAGACTTGCCCGAATAACTTCCCTAGAGCACAGAAAGCATTGTTGATGTCCTGGCGAGGCTACCTCACAATTTAAAACCTTGTTCTGCTGAACACTGGCGACACTTTCGTGTGTCAAGGTGCTGAAAACAGGATATGCACGAAACAACGTGTGTCAAATCTATCTGGCTGAGGCACCGCTACGTAACTCTTGCCAGCAGAAAACCTTCCCTGCCTGCGGGAAAGAACGTGCGTAGACAGCCATCCCAACTATACCACCAGGTGCAGGAATCCCCGGGGAGCCCAACGCCTTCAAACCCCTCAGTCATCCCAAGCGGTCTTCCCAAGTGTTGTCCGCACCAGGCCTCGCCGTCGCCATCCGGGCAATCTGAAGGGCAGATGGTCGCAACGCTCACGTCCAAATCGTCACCCTCCGGGCGCTGGATGCCAGGGCACTTCCTCGGCTAGACGGCAGCGCCCCACGCATGGTCCAAGTCAACTTCGAAGCTTCAACTTCTGCGGTTAGACGGCTAGTGGCAAGCGGCTGCGGTGCTATGATTGCACAGCTGTGACGAGAAATGCATGCTGATTCTGATTCTGGCTTTAAATCCGAATGCTAGTCAAATGTTCGCCGGGGAAGCCAAGTCTCAGACCTTCAATCTCGAAGCAGAGTTTCTCTTTCAGCAGTCTCTCTCCAAGTCTCCACTTCCACTTTAGCAAGCAGCGTCTCTGAACAATTCTCTTCAACTCCTCTCGGCTTCTACTGCGAGGGCCCCTTGCTTCGAGAGTCGTGCGTCTTCTGCAGGCTCCCATGACACGGTACTCTACTCTTTCTTTAGCAGCAGCTGCCAGCAGCCTAATCCTGGTGCTGAGTGTGCCAAGCCTGCAGGGAAACCTCGTGATCTTAAACTGCTCCCCATGGGGAGAGAAAGCCCGCAACGTGAGCCTCGGCCGGAAGCAAGCAACCAAAGCTTGGAATAACCGCAAATTTCGTCGATGGCCGACTCCTAAACAACAAGCCTTACTTGTTGTTCAAGGAGCTTGAACTGATTCAGCGCATCAAGGCAGGGACGCAAAATTCATTAGACAGTAGAGTATCTCATGATAGCTTTACCGGTCTTACCCCGCAAATGCTGACGGGAGAAGGCCCAAGTCCGATCACTCAATCCAACTGCCGCTTTCCAATTTCCCGCTTCTTTGAGGGAGGCCAAATGAAGAAGAAGGCCCCCAAATAGCCTCAGCCCTCTGTGCCCTCTTCTCTTCCTAGCTTCTTGGCCCCAGGCGCGTGCGCCAGGTGCCCCCGCAGCCCCAGGCTGCTTTGAGCTGCTCGCACTCCGGGTTCTCGGCATAACACAACCTCGAAGTGCAGAATACTGTGCTTATATCCCAATGCATTACGAAATGCGTTCGCACGGTAGGGCTTCCCCAGTCATGCGTTGCGGGCATTTCATGTAACTGTCCTGGCGAAGGAACCCCTTCTTTGCAGGGCTTGTTTGATGGGCTTTTTGTGGACAGGGGTTGTGGGCACACTTGTAAGGGCTCTTGTGCAAAAGGTACCATGTTTCGCAAGATCCCATTTCAAGGTTTAGGGTGGCTCTTGCAACGTGAGCAGCACCAGTCGCCCGCGAGGGCTCTTCGCTAAGCTGCCGTACTTCTCGAAGGCTTCGGAAAGAGACTTGAGCAAGGTATTTGGGTGTAGAGCTCAGAACCCAGGCTTGTAACATTAAAATGGGATTACGGTGAAAATGCGCTTAATCTCAGGGCCCTATGAAACCCGAGGCTCAGAAGGATTGCCTCCTCCAATGGGCTCCCTGCTGGCAGGCGCTTGTCCCTTTTTGAGTTGGAGGGCGGGGGGGTTCGGGGTTGTTTAAACGAGCCTGAAAACGTCATGTTATGCTAGTATAGTGGAAGATAGCGTAGCGTGGTGTAATCAGTAATCTAGTCTAGTCTAGTCCATGTCTAACAAATATAATATAACGGAGTGTAAGAACATGGGGAAGGGATTAGTCTTGGCGTGGCTTAGGATAGCCAAACCAGTTGCGTTAAAGCGAAAGCCCGTTTCTTGCCCTCGTCTCCAGGAACACTTGCCGCAAACCCCTTCAGTGCCAGGGACACTCATAGGTCACGGGCTAATTAAGATTGAGGGCAAATCCAGGGGATTGAAATGCGGACCCCGGCCCCTTCTACAAGCAAGGCCACTTGACTAGGATCCCTATATTCGAAACCCAATTTGAAGGAGAGGGTTTTATATGGGTTTATAGACCAGGCCCCACACTCAGTCCAGGTTCGAGACCTTGAGCCCTAAAGCTTCGTCCAAGGCTGAAAATTACAAGTAAAAAAACTCAGACGCCCCTTACTTACTCCCTTTCGCGATTGTTGGGTCAAGCTCAGGGCAGCGGGGGGCCAAGCGCTGGCACAGGCTACTCGTGCGGTTCCACCGGTTCCACGGCGAACTTGTAGCAGCTGGCCTCAAAAGCTTGGGGGATGCTCGCTCTCTCTTTCTTTCCCCAGACCTGTGGTCAAGGGTATCTCTCTCTCTCGACCCCCTCCAAAAAGAACGCCCTCTCTCTGTAGCTCTAGCTCCCGTCTTTTGGGAAGACCTGGAATCTTGGACCGAGGCCTGGAGCAGGAGGCCGAGCGCGGCCAGGAACTTCATTGCAGGGCCCTTTGGCAGAGGTCACCAAGTCAGCCCCGCATTGAAGCTTTGACGGCTGGTGGCTGTCGCGAGCGCGCGATGGAAGATCTTGCGATTCTTCGCCGGAGAGTCTGCAGCTTAAAAAAGTGCTTGCCTGAGGGGTCTCTAGCACCTACTTCTTGGCATTTGGGGTTTCTTCTCGTCGACTCGGGCTGTGACCACTGCTACTGTAGCATACATACAGATGTAAAGACATCGTCTAATGCTATCGCTATCTATCCAGTCAGTCCCAGCCTGGGGCCGACCGAGAAACAAAGCTCCAAGCTCGACCAAAGCCCCAAACGATGGGGCCCCTTTCGGCTCTGGAGCCTGGCCTGGCCTCGAGCAAACATTATCTTCCCCCCCCCCCCCTCCCCCCGCAAACAAAAGGGGCGTCCCCAGCTCCTGAGCTCGCCGTTGTCGCACGTGAAAACACATGCTGATCAGGGCACACGGGTGTTTGTTGTGCCTTTTCCGTTTCTTGCATCCCCACCTGGGCGCTTGCGTGCGCGTGTTCCTTTCCCTTGCTCTGCGTGGCCTTTCGGAGTCGCACATGGGAATGCAGCAGATGCAGCACGGCCCCGAGTCTGAGGCACGAATGAAGGCGCCTGCATCTGAGCAACCCTCTAAAGAGGCTTGTTGCTCCAAGTGCAAATGAGCCATGCGTGCGCAAACACAAGAATCACCAACATCTTCAGCAACTAATTAGTGTCCAAACACTTCCATTACACTCTGACTTTGCCAACCGCTTTTTCGCCTGTGGATAAGAGGCGCTCGAAAGGCAAACATTGTTTTTACCTCGACTGTCGACTGTTCGGATGCTGTCCAGACGGCAACTTCAGAAACATCCTCAGTGCAACGGTTCGCCGGTTGGTTGTGGCACATGCTTCAAGCCAGCGAGGGCTTAGCCCTGGGGCTATGGACGTGGTGCGAGACTTCTCCGAAGTCTTCAGCTCGGTTGATGACATTAACGTATGTCGCCAGGGAACCGTGGCATTTTGGCCGTTCTTACACGGCTCGAAAACTTAACCACTCGCAGCCAGGCTCCACTCACATGGAGAATGTCTCTCTGCCAAGGTCGAAGCCGTCGTCGCCAAGGAGGCTAAACGCCTGGCGAGGCATTGGAACGGTAGTTTGCAAGACTTGCAAGCCTAGAATCAGCACTGGGTGGCTCGTTGACTATAGGATATTATAGGCCTGCCTGGGGAACAAAGCCCCAAAAATCCTGAAGCTCGATCGAGGCATTGTGCGAACTCAGATCGTGCATTTCGTGTTCGATCATGCCATCATCTGCTTCGTCTTTGCTCGCTTCTGCCGCCGCATCCTGCGCGGCAAATTCCGGTAGAAGAAAAATCTCGTCTCAACGAAATCGCACACCTAGTCTTGAAAATCTTTGGCTCCAAGTCTCCAAGCCCGCTGTTTGAGGCAGTCCTTGTAGCGGTGCAGGACCCCGCGATCTCGGCAACTTGCCTCTGTTGAAGTCCTTCTGAAGCCAGCGGGGACACCGGCAAGGCCAGGGCCTTCAGCATTTAGGGTTTAGGGTTTATAGAAATTGTTAAGCGTTTGGGTGCCAAAAACGTTTTGACCGAAAGTTTTGAGCAGGTTTTCTGACTGAAACTTAATTTTGGAAAATTAGCTGGGCTGGGCTTGTGAGAGCCGGAAGGGTCCTTCGGATTTGCAAGCGGCCGAGGGGCTGAGGGAAGAAGGGGGGGGGGGGCGGGGGCGGGGTAGGGCGGTGTATTCTTTAGCTGTGCTCGGTGGTCTGAAGTTTCATCGGCACCATGCCTCACAATACCTAAACCGGCTGAGCCTAAACCCTGAACACTTTTCCAATAATTTTATCAGCCTGGCGGGGGGGCGGGGCGACCGCATAAATAGGCTGCTTGCAGCCGGTTTAAGTGCTGTGAGGCATTGTGCCGACTAAATTTGCGCATATTAACCCCGAGCCTTATTCACACATTAGCCCCCGTCGGCTGCCGTTTTAGTTCTAAGATGTGCTAAGAAAACAATCTCAAAACACGATCCAGGATGATCGAAATGATTTTGAGTTTTGTTTTAGTGCTTGTTTGTTTCGATCGTTGGAACATGCAGTCTGGGTTTAATGATTCGGGGGCTGGGTGGTGAGGAGGAACAGAAGAAAACAGGGTGGCAAAGGGCAGGGAGCGGCACGGGGCAGGGGTCAGGGGGGCAGGGGGCAGGGGCGCTGGGGCTGTGGGGAAGACAAGTGAGTTTTGCGACTGGAAGCTGATTTGAATCTGGGAGAGTTTTGTGACTGGTTTTGGGCTCAAAAAAGAGTTGTGGGAAGCAACACGGTCTCACAGTGATTGTAGCATTCGTGGGCCAGAACCTTACAACACGGATTGACCAAACGCGATACCATCAACTCTCGGAACTAGCACGTAGCACAGTCGACCGCAACCTGCGAAAAGACTGTTGGTGGATGTCCCGAGTGCCGACAACTACAACCGTGGCCTGAAAGTAAGATCGACAAATAGGTCAAAGATGGGCTCCATCCTGGAGAGGTGGATGGTGTGAGGTCGAGGGCACTTGGAGGTTCTTTAGGTTGCAGGACCTTGTTCAAGTTTGAGGTTGAAAGGGAACAGTCTCATTTAAAAGCGCCCACGGCTCGGGTCTACACTTCTGCTATGGCTAGAAACATAATTTGCGCGGCGAACCTGCAAGAAGCATTCCTGCCGATAACAATCATAGCCTTTCGAAAACCTGAACATGCACCCAGGACTTAGACTAGAGGCCAACCATGGCATGGGGTCGGCGGGTTCGGAAACTATGAATCACCAGAAAGCTCTACACCCCTGGATGGAGCAATACACTTCGTGGCCGTCACAGGTCCGAAGCGCAAAAAATTGTGCCAATGCCCTACGCAAGCCGTAGCTGGGCACCTCTACTGCTGTTGTCCGGGAGTAGTTTGCTGATCTTAAGCTTCTTACCACGCAGCATGGCACACCGCAGTGGTGGACGTTTTGACTACGATCACCAAACAAGGTAAGCCTGGCCAAGTCAGTTCGGTGAGCCTCTGCCTGCAGGAGCGTCCCAGGAACCCAAGAGAGCTCCTGGCGTACCAAAACGCAACCCGAAACGACGAGCTTGAGTTTCGAGCCCGAGGTCTCGAAATCAAAAGGTAAGACGGCCGGAGGCACGACTTCGAGCGTGTTGCTGGATGGATTTGCATGATGATTGTCTGTATTGGATCTCCAAACAGGCGGCGAACTGTGGTACTCTTTGGAATTGTTTGGATTTTCTGTGCGCTGCGTTGTGTTGGCCTGCTTTCGGCGGTCCTTCGCCATGCCGTGTGGGGCCTGGCACAAGCACAAGCAAGAACGGCATAGAAGAGCCAGGAACTTCGACGACCCCGCGCTCAATCGACTTTAAAGCACTAGGCTGCCTCCTTCGAGACCAAAAAGTTCCAACAACAAAAATCCGCCGAAACCAGAGGCACTGAAAAACTCTAATCAAGTTTTGTGATCGGAGCCCCAGCAATCGGTGTTGTGCTTCCTGGTTCTGGGCCTTTAAGCATTCAGAGTTAAAAGGTTCGTCGTGGTTCAGGGCTCGGAGAGGATTGCGGGTTAAGGATTCGGCAAAGGGTTCTATGGGCCAGAACACATTGAACCCTAAATCTCACAGCCTTTAACTTTATTGAACTTTCAGCCACATTTTTTCTGCTCCGTGATGTGCAAACCGCTGCGCTCCATTGCCATTAAATACCCTAAACTGGGAAGTGTGGCATACTGGTACACTCCTGGTTGTGGATATTGCGGGACATGTTCTGTCGGCAGTATCACTATGGCTACGACCTACGAATATTTCTTCTTTCAAAGATGTGCTACTACTGCTACCTCATATTACCTCATGCTATAACAATATGCGCATGGCATGCATTGAACTTTGAGGCTGGAGGTTGAGGGCCACTGAATCAAGTTGCCAAATCCTTCCAGTATACCATGCCGAGCATTCACACACGTAACTCAAAGTTGAAAATCCCTGCTGAACGCAGCCACATTGAAAACCGACAATGTGCTTGGACCCCACTCCCAATCTCTGCAGGTCCCTCACGTCAATTTACTCAGACCCTTCCCCGTCTATTCAAGTGCAGGCTATCTAAAACTTAATCCTAAACGGCGCTAAACCCTGAGGCCTCCTCGAGTCTCGGCTTTGCTTGCGGTGCGCCGGCGGGATGGGAGCGGGCCGCTTCCCGATGAGTTTGGGTTTCAACATATATACAAGGAGTTACAAAGAACAAGGGCTTAATATGGATTCAAATGTCATAAAACGAATTTCGGGTTTAGAAAAAATTCAATAGATTGAAGGCGGGCCTACAGCAAGTCTACAGGGGCTCATGCGCTGATGCGGAAACAAATAGTATCTACCGCAGTGACTGGCCTGCCGATTCGAAGCAAACCTCAGGCACGGTGCCTCCACATCCGCGACCACTTGCTGGACGCTTGCGAACACGAACTGAAGTGGAAGCAGCAGCTCACCAATGCCAGCTGCATCATACATACATACCCTTTCGACATGAGCCTCAACCAAGTCCAACACTCGCACTAGCTTTTTTCCGCTGACTCGACGCGGAGGATCCGGAAAGGACGTGCCAAGCATCAGCCCAAGCCGGTACATGGAGGATGCAATCAGAAAGGATGCGCCAAGCATCAACGAAGTTTGAGCTGCCAACAGGAAAAAGGCACGCAACTTCGTGAGGACTGGCGAGCTACAAGTTCAAAGCGTTTGCACTGGCAATCCATTTCTAAAGCCTCACAACATGTTGACACTGCGTGGTTACTGTTCCCCAGCACCTGAATCATCATAAATTCCCTGAAACCTGGGACAAGCTTAAACAATCTTATCTTTGCTCCATGCCCCCACCCAAACCGGCCTGCACTGGGACGACTCCTTTCGTTTTGATGCTGCTGAGATGGCGGCTTCGCTGCCTGATTAATCAATGTCCTCCGACTCCCTTGCAACCC